ATCATGCAGTACTAATTGCGGTTGTAGTCTTGTAGATACCCAAGTCCAGGAGCACCAGTAAACTGCATTTTTCTTATCACATTACAAGCAAATATCTGCAGGAATCCATTTGAACAGTGCACATAATTTAATGCCTTGCATGCTGTTTTCCTTTTCTAGCAGCGATTCATCATCAGCTGAAGATAAAATGGTCAGGTTTGTGTCTGAAGTAGCATTTTGTTTTTTTTATCGGGGCCATTTATTTTATATCGTTCATTTATGGATTGCTGTATTGGTCTCACCTGTTTGTTCAAGCCCTGGAAACCTTGGAGCTCAGTAGTGGGGAAAAGGAAGGTCGGAATGAAATAAAAAATGGAGATGCAGGGTATCGATCCCCGTACCTCTCGCATGCTAAGCGAGCGCTCTACCATCTGAGCTACATCCCCATTGAATGTTAACAAATTTAATTATAAAACTCTAATATATTAACCTCGGCGTAGAGCAGACTAACTCAAGTTTTGTTTCTTGATTTTTATATCCCCTACAGACGATTCAAAGGTCTAAATTGGCTGCTCTGCCTGCCAGTCTTCTTAAAGAGCACTTCTACTATGCTATATAGTATTGGTGCTTTAATGTACAACTTGAAGTTGTATCATAACATTAAATGTATAAGTTTAGGTTGTATCATAAAGGAATTTGTATAATTATGTTATGGTACAACTTTACAACTTCTTTACAACTTGAAGTTGTACCATCACATACCATAAAAGAATTTCTACAAAAGTATTGGTACAATCTGAAGTTATATCATAACATTAAAGGTACAATTTCAAGTTGTACCATAAAGGGAAAAACCTATAGCACCAATGCTATATAGCACTGTAAAATTCCTCTTCTTAAAATATGCTATCTTTTCCACATCTACTTCCCGTTGACATGAGAGTCATGTAGCCAACATACTTAGGTGCATATGGCTTTAGAAAGAAGTGATTGATATTGCATTCATGTAGAATTAAGGTGTAGAAGTAATTTCGTTAATAAACGAGGATAATTATGTCATTCTATTATATTAGTAAATACTTGTGGAATTCATTTGCAAATTCCATCTCAATTCCTCGGAATTGCTATAAGTCTATAGCTAGTTCCAGTTTCGTAGAATTCAAAATTTAGAATTACAAATGAATTCTTTTAAATACCAAACACAAAAAGATTTCATTTCAAAATGAATTTATCAAAACTTATAAAATTCCTTTATACCAAACGGTGTGTAAAAGTGAAGTCCACCCATAGTAAATAGCTTCTCAGTTCTCAAACATAATTAACTAAATAAAAAACTCTTCTTTGTCAACTCCTAAAAGAAAACGGTGGAACTCTCTTGCGGGCAAGGAGAAGTAACAGCTTCTGTTTTGTGAGTTCTGTAGTTATTGAGAAGAGATTTGGCCGGGAATCTAATCGCGCGCGAACGCTCTCTCCATCTGCCACCTAATCGGCGGGTCGTCGTCCCAACTCCCAAGAATCAATTGCTTCATTCCACTGGGCTGTTTCTTCGTCAGCGAATCAGTCTCTCATGGGCATCCACATCTAGCTTCGGCTTCAAGAATCTCTGGCACAAAAATCATCTCAAACGCAGGCCCCTGCAAGATTTGTTTCAATCTCAGTCTAGTCCCAACAAATGACCTGAACATCAATCAGCTTCTTAACTCTTCGTATCTAGTGCTTGCAGCGGAAGTATTTGATTGTGCTGTGCAACGGCTTCGCCAAAAACCATTCAGTTTTGTTTAGTGTGTTGTTTTTAAATGGATGGAACTAAAATGAAAAGTTGGATGTTGCCAACACTATGTGTGCATTACGAGCTCTCACCATCATCAAACAAACTTTTTAACTTAATTCCTCTGGAAAAAAATCACACCAACTTGCATGTAAATTGCAGTAACTATCATGGAAAAGGAAAGCAAATAATAACTATAGGCTGAAGCAACTGGCCTTCCAATTTTGTGGAGGTTGAAGGTCTGGTTTCCCAATTTTGAATTGACAGATTAAATAGAACAAACTCTAGTATGTGTTCCTTCTGTCACAGAGTTAATATTTGTAGAATTTCTTTACCTTCAGTATGAAGATGAGCTCTCTAACTTTTTCACAGCTCAAGGAAATAATGTAGCTGATTTCCTTGGCATCCTTCATTCAAGTGATTTACAAAAGCAGGGTAGAAGTATAAGCCAACACTTATACTCGATACCTCTTTTTCATGGACTCAATGCTTGATCAGATGTTTATTTTACCTGGTTTCTTGTATTAGTTAATTGGCTTCATGGTATGTTTTGGTAGGCTTTGACACGGGCTTAAATATTGTGCGGGTTACTAACTAAAATGATGGACAAGAGCTGGCTCTCGAAACCAAGAGAAAGTATTGCATATCGCAACGGAGTAGAGAACTTCTTGGACTATGCATTTGCTAATGCAACCGAGGGAGATCAGATTGTGTGTCCTTGTGTGAATTGTATAAATCTATTGTTGAAAAGAAGAGATATCGTGCGTACACATTTGATTGTACGTGGATTTGCTCCTAAATGCAATCAATGGACTGATCATGGGGAGAATGTTGTTGAGGATATAGGAGATGCCAAAGTGATTGGTGATGATGATATGCATGACCTACTGAATGATGCCTTTGCAACAGAGAGTAGTGAAGAACCAAATGACAAGGTGAAGGAATTTTTTACTCTCATACAGGATGCTGATCAAGAATTATACCCAGGTTGCAAGAAATTCTCAAAGCTCTCTTTCACTATTCGACTTTATCTTATCAAATGTCAGAATAGATGGAGTAATGCCTCGATGGACTCACTCCATTCATTACTCATCAAGGCTTATCTTGAGGCTAAGATTCTTGCATCCAATGCGAAAATGAAGACGATGATTAAAGATTTTGGTTTGAACTACAAAAAGATTCATGCTTGTCCAAACGAGTGTATGCTGTATTATGGTGTTGAGGATGAAAAGCTGAAGAATTGCAGAAAATGTGGCGAGTCCCGATACAAGTTTACATCTGATGGGCCGGGGGATAGTAGTGAAGAAGGTACCCGTTCTAAGAAACAAATTGCAGCCAAGATTTTTTGTTATTTTCCTTTGATTCCGAGACTACAAAGGTTGTTCATGTCCTCCAAGACTGCTGAATCTATGAGATGGCACGAGGAGAAGCGTGTGAAGGATGGCAAGCTCAGACATCCTGCAGATGGTCAAGCTTGGAAAGATTTTGATAAGTTACATCCTGAGTTTGCATCTGACTATAGAAACATCAGGTTCAACTGGAGGAAAGACAAGAGCCCTTTTGATGGCGAAACAGAGTTTGGGTTGAGACCGCCCCCATTATCTGGTTCACAGATCAAGGAGGAGTTGAATGGGTTCATCAATGACTTTGGCAAGAAAGGAAAAAAGACAAGTGAGAAAAGTGGTCAGTTCTCGAAGTTGTCTATTTTTTTTTCCAAATTGCCTTACCCGGAGCATAATACACTTCGGCATAATCTTGATGTCATGCATATAGAGAAGAATGTTTGTGACAATTTTTTAGGAACATTGTTAGACATTCCAGGAAAGACCAAGGATCATGCAAATGCTCGTTGTAATTTAAAGGATATGAAAATCAGAAAAAGCCTTCATCTAAGAGAGTCTGCAAATCTCATGAAGAGCAAGTTGGTGAAAGCTTGTTATACCCTAGTAAATCATGAGAAGGAGATTTTCTGTGCGGTCTTAAAAGGCGCTAAAGTACCAGATGGTTTTGTATATAATATATATCATTGTGTAAATGTGAAGGACAAGCATATTGTTGGGTAGAAGAGTCATGATGCCCACTTTATCATGCAATACTAGCTCCAAGTTGCAGTGCGTAAGACTTTACTGAAGAATGTGTCTATTGCTATGATAAGACTTGGATCCTTCTTTAAGGCTCTTTGTGGAAAGGTGATAAACTTGAACGACTTAGATCACATGCAGACTGAGATTGTTGAGACTATGTCAATTAGAACAAATATTTCCACCTACATTTTTTGATGTAATGGTTCATCTACCTATTCACTTGGTCAAAGAGGTTAGACTTGGGGGGTCTGTGTAAACTCGGTGGATGTACCCGATTGAGAGATTTCTATGTGTTTTGAAAGACTATGTGAAAAACAGAAGTCAACCAGAAGCACGCATAGTTGAAGTTTATTCAGCCAAGGAATGTTTGTCTTTCTGCTCAAGGTATTTGAGTGATGAGAATGGTGTACAAGGTTTACTCGACCTTCAAGAAACGACGATGGAACGGTTGCAGAGAAATATCCAGAAGCTTTGTTCCCGATTATTGGCCGACCAATTGGATCTAAAAGGAATGGAAAAGGGAGGTCAATTGACTTGGATGATAGCATTATGAACCAAGCTCAATGCTATATTCTATTCAATTGTGAGGATGTCTGTCCGGAAATTGCTGCATATCTCAAGTAAGTTGTTATTTGTGTTCTTTTGGAAATTGCATTGCTACATTGTTCTGTGTATTCATCACTTTTTTCATATAAACTGCAGTGAGTACCAACAATCACAAACCACAAAGCGCAAACGTGCAACTAGGTGGAGAAGAGAGAAAAACCAAGCTCTAGATATAGTACAGTGGTTAGAGTCTCGCATCGAGAATGATAGAGCAGCTCCCGACACTATCAAACAGTTAGCTTTGGCCCAAATCCTGACAACGTTCAAAGCTTCTCAGGTTACATTATTAATGGTTATAGATTTCATACTCTAGATCATGATAAGAGGCCTCAAACACAAAGTAGTGGAGTAACATTGATGGCAATGACATCTAGTTTTTCTAGTTCTAGAGATAAGAACCCGATACTCGCTAATGTCGCTTACTATGGAGCTATTGAACAGATTATAGGTAACACCCTTGCTCGGCCGAGCACTAATTTTACCAAAATACCCTTAAGTAATCAAGATAACTCAAAATGGAAAGAATACAGAAAAATTATTTTAAATCACCGTAGGAAATCCATCTTAACAAATCATAAATGAGCATCAGTCTCAAGCCTACTAATAAAAGTACAAAAGTGAAACAGTTCCCTTGGAATCTTTTGTAATCACTAACCCTTGTGACGATGACATCCCGAGCAACAGCTTTCTCTTGACTAGTGGTCTGAATGCTCCTGCTTCCTTGTACCTCCTGAGTGCGGGCGATGGGGTCAGTCCTAATCCTAATTTCGTTATCATACTTAAATGGAAAGCCATGCACATGCAATGTTTATGGTACGTTATTGGGTACATTAGTAGAAGTGTATTATTGTTAACATATTCTTGCGTAAAATATTTTCTTCTTTCTTAACTTGAAATGGGACCCACCCTCTACTTAAATAGCACATTCGTCCGTCACCAACGTATCATGAACATAACCTCCTCATCTACAAGGAGTAACATAACATACCTCCTGATCTATAGGGAGTAGTGGTGACCGCGTCCGGCACCGATCGTGACTTACATATCATGAACCCTCATCTACAAGGTGCTCCTCATCTATAAGGAGTAAGGTGACCGTGTACGACTAGTTAAGGGAGGGTTCTTATTCTTACTTAATGACTTGATATCTTATACGTACTTGCTTGAACAACCTCTCACTCCATGGAGAGACATACTTAATCTTGTACTTGCTTACTTGACTTGAGAAGTTTGAGCTTAATTAGGCGATCTCCCGCACAATGGGAAGATACAAACTTATGAACTTGAACTTAATTAGCTTATAATTGAACTTACATTTGCTTGACTCATAACGTAGTTTATATATGCTTCATGATGCTATGCATACATAAATGTAAAGACTAAACGTAAACAAATTAACTTAATATGAAAGCATATAAGGATGGACTGAACTAAAGCAAGAACTGCAATGCATAACATGAACTTAAATACATATACTTGTACTGATAACGAAAACTACTCTAGCCCCTTTAACCACGCACCTTAATTTACGGTCGAACTTCCTGATCGATGTGAACCTCCTACTTGAAGTAACCGTGAAAGCTCGCCGTTGATGAGATTCCAAGAGCTACGCGTGAGTGCCCAAAATATAGTCAATTAAACCTCCCACTTACAGCCTACAACTCGACCAACTCAACCCAGCTAGTTATGATTTTCCTTTTAAAGTCTCTCTTGATGCCAAGCTTCCATGTTACGTGTAAAGAATACTTGCATGAACTCCCAGTTTATTGACATGTGTTAGTAGTTACCCCATGGCTAATTGCACATGATTATTCATGACCCACGTCAATTGCACATCACATTAATATATATATATATACCATTCATAGACATGCACCAACGTAATTGAAGCCTTCCATCAATTGCTTAGTCGTAAAACCTTAAGATCTAAAGCCAACATGTAATTTCCCCTTCAACTCTTCTACGTACTTGCAGTATCTAGCGTGATTAATTATAACCGTCAACGCCATTATCGGATTGGAAGAGTTAGGGAGATCGTCCTTACCTATAGGACGGGAGAGGTCTATCTGAAGCTACGGGGTCCGGCGAACAGAGGCCATGCTGAACGGAGGAACTGGTGCGGCGTCGACGTCGCTCCCGTATCTGCCGGTTGTTGTTTCCGTAGGTGGTTTGTGATTTCGAAGAGCTGAGGGATATCTTTTGGTCGAGGGGAAAGGAGTTGAACAAGTGGAGGAGGTACCGACGATGGGTTTGGTCGTGCGAGGAGGGAAGAAGCGATTCCTGGCGGCGGCGGTACTAGCGTGGGTTTTATTAGTTTTTAGATTTCGCTAGGTATAGTGTATATATGGTTATGTCTTCGGTGCACTCACTTTTTTGGGTGCATTCAATGCACCCGCCTCATAATCGTCATTCTGAGCAAGCGATTTATGTGAAAACGATGTCAATCATCACTTGTGGTATGATGAACAAGAACCACATGAATTTGTACAAAAATCATTCAAGATTCACTATAATTTGAATGATTCAGGGTTTAGGAATTTAGGGTTAGGGTTAGGGTTTACAATTTGGGATTTTGGGTTGAGATACAAAATTGAAGGTTAATAGGTTAGGGTAATGGGATGATTAGTTGGGATTCTATGTTATATCATCATATTAGACAAATACAACCCATTAAATTTCAAAATTTAATGTAATATGACCACTTTTAGAGGTGGGTGCACTGAATGCACCCAAAAAAGTGAGTGCACCAAAGTAGCCACCGTGTATATATATATTCACGTAAAGAGAGGGAGAAATCCCCACCTATTGCCGCTGCGTTGATTAGTTTAGGGTTAGATAGAGTTAATTAGTTAATCATAGTAACTAAATGAGGGTAAATTTGGAAATTCATGAAAATTCTAGGTATCGGGTGTGACATTATCCAATTGGATTATTAAGGGCACTTCAAGGTTATTTTGCTCCGGTGCAAGTGGTTTCATTTAGAAATTGATGATTATGGCCTTATAAGGGTTAATATGTCAAAATTACTATATCAAGATGACCCATTTGTTATGGCAAATCAAGTAAGTCAAGTTTTCTATGTGCAAGATCCTGCGGAAATAGATTGCCACTATTTGATGGAGACAATTCCTCGAGACTATTTGACATGGGAGCCCATAGTTCAGTAGATGAGGTTGCTTCTTATTCCCAAGAGTCAAGAGTCCGTGAGTTGCATACTGCTGCACCAATTGATAGCAGTGAGATTCAATGGTCACGGGAGGATGTTGAAGGAATACTAGTGGACAATCCTATAGATACGGCTGAGCAGGACGTTGATCCAATTGAAACTGAAGAGACAGTGCCTGTAGATGAAGCAACAACCCAGCTAGATGAACGCTCAACAGAAGGTGAAATGGCAGAGGATGAAGATGGATTCTCCACTGAAGAAGAAACAAGAGATTCTTAAGATGAATACTCTGAGTGATTGGTTAATTATTTGTAAGTTTTGTGCTTTATTTACGCTGTCTTGTTTTGGTCAAGTTTTTTATAAGATATGGGAGTGCAAGTGATTTCTTTTTCTTTACCGAAGAATGCAGACTGTAGACTTACCCCTTTTTGTTCTGTACCCTTTCGTTGCACTACATAGTAATTTACAGAATACTCAAAAGATTACAAAGTTGACCGATTCTGAAGGAAAAGCATGCTTCTGTTAGCTTTATCCCACTATAATTCGCTTTCAGTTTTATCTTTGGTGGTTCAATTCATACCCTGCTATAGACATGATCCAAAAATCAAAACAATGTACAGACTACATGTAAACCTCCCCACATTATGTAAGCTATTACCTGCAAAAGCACAATACTTAAGATGGGCAAGACCTGACTTTATTAACTGTTGCTATAGCAAACTAGATATGATACTGGCATCAAAACATGTCTAGCCATAGGAACTAAACGAAGGTATCACTATTGGAGCTTAAAAAATTGTTAAGAGCTAAGAAAAGTTTGGAACTACGAGTTGAATAACATATTCAATGAAAAAAAAATCCGTCAGATGACTCAGATTGACCCGGCCTATTCTGTTGTCTCTGTGTTCGGTATTGCATTCCCACCACTCCTGTAAGCCTCATTATGAATGTCTACCAGCAAGAAGTCAAACATGTCCTGGGGGATGACAAGAGATGGGTTGGATTCCTTCAACGAGGCCATAACATTATGCAATCAATTTGATAGATGAGATGTTTGTTAATCCAACTTGTTTTGCACATCTTCGGGCAGCCCAGATGCGTTTGGGGTCGTTCCTTTTTCTTGATTTATCGTAGAAGCCTCAAGTTTCCTCTTTAATATGGTTAGAGTCACTCGTCGTCCATGGAATCGTAAATTTGGCCTCGTACCTAATTCTTCTTGGACCTAAAGTGTAACACGTGATGAAATAAAGGACTTCTTTTAAAACATAAGTTCTATGAGAACAATTCTTACTCTTGTATTTTCATCCATATCGGAACCTTCATTCACTTTACGAGTTCGGAGAAACATTTCAATTTCAGTTGGCTCTTCATCATTTCCCTTCTCATTCTTCTACATTAGTTGAACAAACAGATACACGGGATATACTATAAAAGAACTGAAATCATGGATAGATAAAGAGTCCTAAGAATAATCTACCAGCTGATGGCGACGTCGTGCATAGCTCTTCCTTCCTGATTTATGTTGATTCACCTGACCCTCTCGAGCCTTGGCGTTTCTGTCACTTTGCTCCTGTAAATTCAATGAAATTTAGCCAACTTTTACACAATGAACATTATAGGCCAAGATTTTTTTATTAACCGAAGGTTACCTTCACAGCTGGCTTCTCCCAATGATCCAACAAATTCTCCATTACATTCTTCGGAATTGTATCTGGACAATTTGCCAACTTTTCAGCTCTTGTTTTGAACGCTTTCATCTTCCTTTTAGTGACACATTTATGTATTCTCCATGCTGATGATACCGTCTCCATAACCCACTTCTCACAAATGGGTGGAACTACATACTTGGACTACAGGATACATGAAGTTTCACTTGATTATTGCAAAGAAAGCTTAAGCTTCAAAATATTAGGGAAATTTTATAGTGAATAGGGGACTGATATACATACCTTAACATAATTCATCACATTTAGTTTCTTCCCTTTTGGAACATGAGGCCATGAAACATAATTCAGAGGGAGAAACTTGCTGCTTCGCGCCATAGTTCCCAAGAAACTACTAAATCGGTTGCAAATCTTATCATTTTGAACAGGTTGTCTGAATTCATTGACAATAATAGTCTCACGTTCTTCAAGTTCTAGGGCGTGAATCACATTGCATTCTGTTGGGCCCCTTGTTCTCTTATGCACTGCAAATTGAGATAAATATATATATAGGGTCAATAGAATGACATGAGAAAGGAATAAGTTTTTGAATACCAACTCATATACCTACGTTTTCTGCCTGATTGTCTAATTCAGTGGCAGTTAGTACCTCAGATGCATCCCCAACTTCATCTTCACTGCAATCTTGGGCAGTGGAATCATATTCACCATCATCTTCCATTTCGTAATCCTCATCTTCCTCCTCACGCTCATTCCACGATGGTCCTTTGTGTGACTTTCGATGCTCGTTAAAGTGATTAGCTTTGGTAGAAACCGGCTGTGAAGATGTGAACTCCCTGCTGGGAATAGACACCTTCTTCGAATATCCAACATACCTTCTAGAGATGTCAACTGCATTTCGTGTTGATTGTGAAAGTTGTTTAGCTGGCTTCTCCTTGAGCGTTGAGCCGACTTCGATTCTGGATCTCTTCATGGGACTTGGGCCAATCATTTTATTCAGACTCCTAGGTTCTTGTTTTGATTGTTTCATCAATTTATTTTTTATCATTAACAAAACAAAAATTATGACTACTATACCATATGCTTTTCTCCGAGCAATTAAATATTTCTCTCATTTTTATTGTTTCAGCAAGAAATAAGAGGGGCGTCACAACCTGCAATGCTGTCGTGCTGGCCACTAAAGATGGGGATAAGCTGGAGGTTTATTTTCCGGAATAATGCACACAAGCTGTAGGTAATAACACTCGGCATCTAGTTAGTTTTTGCGGAGTTGTGGTCAGGAAACATGTTTAGTTGAGCAACAAGAGTTGGGATGAGGTGGAGGAAGAAATTGAAAATAAATTGTGTTCTTTAGTTGAGGTAAGATAATTTTTGGACTTATCATTTATGTAGTTAATATTTATTTTGCTCATGTAAAATATTTTTCAATATATAATATTGAGCTACTGTGTATGTAGGATAAATTCAAGAGCAATTGCAGTGAGAAACTCAAATCTTTTATATTGAAGTAACTGAAAAAGGCGTATTCAACCATGTGTTACAACACTCGCAAAAAAAAAATCAAGAGATGGATGAAAGTCAAAGGAAGAGTTATGTTCCTCAAGGCATTGATAGTGAAGAGGGAAACGAGCTATTGGCAAGTGGGAATCCGAAACATTTAAAGTAAGTACATATCTTAGAATGTATTATATGAAAGTTTTGCCTATTTTTTCTTTAGTACATTAATATTATACTATGACTTTGACAGGAAAAGAGTGGCATAAATAAAAAGAATAGATTCCAAGTGAAATTGAAGAACGTTTGTGGTTTAAGATCTCATGATGAAATTGAATTTTACATTGTAATGAATTTATAGTTTTTGTATGAAGTGAATTTATAGTTTTTACTTCTAGTGTAGGTATATTTTTCAACCTTATATCACATTTTCAGTTTTATTAACATGTTTTAAGTTGAATGATGACATTGAAATTGTAGATAGATCCAGAAACTGGGATTGAGAAGTCTGCTGACGAAGTGCGGCGTGCTCAGCATATGAAGAAGAATGAGAAAGGAGAGATGGTGTGGTGTGATGAGACATCAAAATCAATTTTTGTAAGTAACCTTTCTTTATTGTTTTGTTCAATAAGTTATTTTACATTCATTTAATTTTGAAATATAAATGTGGAATTAAATTATTTGTTTTTACAGGAAAAAATAAAAAGATTATTAAACTTGGAACTTTCTTGTCTAACAAAGGGATAATACTACAAGCGAAGGGCAAGTCATCATCGTGACGTGTAAAAGAGGCCAACAACCATTTTAGTCGGGGAAGAAGCTAGAGCTGCAATAAGAAAAGAGATCTACTCGAAGTTAAAACAGCAGGTTGAGGCACAACTTGAAGAAACAAATAAGAAATGAGAACAAAAGCTAGCTGACCTCCAAGAGCAACATGATGAAGACATGAGACAGCTATTACGTCC